ATATGTTAGAGTTTCTCTGGAAACAAAGGCAATCATCTTTATTATTTGTCATTTGTTTGGAGATTATAACAACAAAATTCAAGTAGTTTATTCTCTCTTTGTTTTTTTGGTATTGGCATCATCTGGTCTTGGATTTTTAAATTTAAAAAAATTTTTTTTACTACTTAATTCCATTGTGAATTTTTGTAATATACTTATCAAGGTCATCTTCCACTAAAAGTATTATCACTAATTTGACTTAAAACACCACTGGTTGGAGTATCTTAGCAAGAATTTAATATGTAGTATTTACTGGACTCACAACAAATTGTTTTTTTTTTGTTTGTTTGTTTGTTCTTTATCATTTAACCCCAACCAAGGCAATAAAGCCACAAAGATACAAGAGGTTACTGAGTGTGAGATAATATGAGAAAATATAACATCAAGTAGAGAGAACAATAAAAGAACAGGAATTAAGATAGAAGATAGCTATTGACATTACATTTAAATTTTTGAAGATCAAAGTTGACTGGAAAGCAGGAAGAGAGTTCCACAAGTGAAAATTGAGTGAGAACAATAGAAGAGTAATCAGGAAGAAAGTAGATAACAATTGACATTGAATTTCAATTTTCGAAGATCAAGGTTGACAGGAAAGCAAGAGCCCTGTAGAAAGTTCCAAAAGTGGACAGTGCATGAGAAGAAACTGTTAGAACTTACTTTTACATCTAACCACTTTTTTTTTTTTTTTTTTTTTTTTTTTTTTATAAGCATTTCACCCCAAGCAAGGGGGGGAAGCCACTAGGATGCAAGGGGTTACAGAAAGTTTAGAGCAAGATCAGATAGGAGTGATAGAAGGATGAGGGTAGTGGATATATCAAGGCAACTGGAGATGTCGATTGACATTACACTTGAATAGCTGGAGATTATAGCTCACAGGGAAACAGAAATAGGGAAGGGAGTTCCACAGGTGAGAGGTGCGAGACATGAAGCTATTAGAGTAGAAGAGACGGCTACATTTAGGACTTTTGACAGTGAAGGGGTGAGAGTGGGATGCCAGCCTCGTAAGGCGCTGGAACTCATGACTTCAAGTTTAAAATGATTAGACTGTCAACGATTTAGTACTGTGCTTAAATTTGTAAAGTCTGTTACAGCAGTGGCAAAGTGACTGAAGCTGTGATGCCTGGTCAGGACTGATAACATTGCAGATTCTTCTTTGTATTTTATCAAGAATGTCTAAATACATAGCAGGAGCACCAGACTCAGATGTGGCAGTGCATGGACAAATGGTAGACTTATAAATATTTAAGATAGATTCTGGCAAGAAAGATTATCTAGTATACCACAGTGAACCAAGTTTAGTAGTAGCAGATCTAGTAATTGATTCAATGTAATCATTCTACAGAATGGTCCCTTTACCAGTATTGTCTTCTTTGGAGGAGTTGGTTTGCTGAATCTTTCAGTGAAGTCATGTCACACATCCTCCATGCTCTTCACAGAATGCATACAATCATATACACTTGCAAGCAAGCCTCTCTTCCAAACTGCAGGAGCTCGCCATGTGAAATAGAAAATTATGTTATGTAGGAGGAACAAGACATTCGGACCAACCTGTACCAAACATTAACCAAACATTTCATGCCATTTAGGGATCAGGCTGACTCCATGAACAAATTAAAAACAATCTGGGCTGGTAATCCTGAAATTTTAGATTCCCAAGTTTTCATTACTGTGACTGTTTTTTGTATGATAACAATTTTTATAACTTGGGAATATCTGTCTATATTTCTGAGATGAGGTATTATGTACATTATTTACATTATTCCTCAAGATCACATGGCATAGTGGATAAAGGTGTTAGTTAGATCCAGTGACAGGACCCAAAGAGTGTGAGTTCAATACCTGGCTAAGGTAGTAGAGAACTTTCAGAGGGAAATTAACAGGAGATAACTGATAACTGACATCCATTAAACATGGCATGTAGAACTAGAACAGTCTACCCTAGTGAGTGAAATAAAGGGTTCAGTTTGACATCCAAACCCCCTGAAGAAGGCCAGAGCATACAATGGCCAAAACGTTGTAATAAATATGGCAACAAAGATGAGGATAATAGTCCAAATAATGTAAAGAATGAACTTGGGAATAATTGAAATTAATTGTGAAAGTCAATGAAATAAAATAATAATGAAATAAAAATAATTGTTTGTATGGACAGTAAGGACCTACGTACATCAAATAGTTTTTAAATTAAGTGGCAGAAAAAGAATTATTGTTGAAATTTTAAATGGTAAACTTAAATATTAATGCAATACTTAGATGCAGTGATTAATTTTGAGTTCTTTTGTAGTTTATTGTTGCCTATCACATACGGCAACAGTATGCATTGCAAAAAGAAATCTCTGCCATCAGAGGACCAGATTTACAGCTAAGATCTTTTCAGTTAGCACAAAATCCTTTGGAAAATGCCTGAATTCACAACCATACCACACTGTTTCAACACCAGATTTTTTTGATTTTAATCATTTCACTCCAACCAAGGCAAATAATGCCACTAGGACACACATAGGGTTACAGGAAGTGAAAGAGAAAACTTTAATGAGAAGTGAAGAAGACTGAAAGATTAACTGAATGACTGAAATGATTAACGTTGCATTTAATTTATTTGAAAATTGTAGATAGCAGGGAAGTAAGAAACTGGAAGGTATTTCTAAGAGTGAGAAGTGCAAGAAAAGAAACTTAGAATAGAAGAGATGGTTGCATCTAGCTAGCTCAACAGTAAAAGAGTGAAATCTAGTTACCAATCTAGTAGCACACTTAATTGTCACTAGTATATAACAATACTTAACAGTCAGCCTAATTCTCATGATGCAATTTATTAATCTGACAGATTTTTATCATTTTAAAATTATATAGGGAATGAGAGAGAAAGAGGGTGGTAATAAAGTCACTATACGGTTACTTACAATAACAATTAAGACAAAGCAATTAATCAACAGTCCAGAAATTTATTATTAAAATGGTTCTGGTTAATTTTGGTCAACAACAATAAAATGCTATGGTAAACAATAGTAAATTAATTACTGATACTGTCCAAACTGCAAGCCACCTGCTTCAATGCTTTGCCTTCTTATTATAAGTAACAGTGACTTTATTGCTACAAAATATATATATATATATGTGCGTGTGTGTATGTTAAAGTTCTGAGAATATATCTGTAGAGAAGATAAATTGAATAAAATAGACAATTGGAAAATAGTACCTAGTCCTATATATATATATATATATATATATATATATATATATGTGTGTGTGTATTTAGGCAGCAATCCTTCTTTCATGCACATTTAATTGAATATAACAGACAAGGTGCTTTTATTTAGTTTTTTTATACAATTTCTCATGCAATCTAATAATTTTTTCTTTTCAGATGATAAATTATATAAAAACTTTCCGAATGTTCTTTTCATCTGAGCGCTTTCAGCTATACATTTAGCCATTTTCAAGGATTAAATATTTTAACTGTTAAATAAGAAATAGTTTGTTGCATGTATGTATGTATGTTTTATAAAATGTTTTCATTTTTCAAAACACAGTCAAGATATTGTGTCCATGGTCAAAGTTAATATTATTAAGTGTTTTTTTTTGTTTTTATTAATAAGGCTTCCATTATTTTTAGCCATTTTGCATTTCAGTTAAAATATTTAATCCTTGAAAATGGGTAAATGTATAGCCAAAAGCAATCGGAAAAAAAAAAGAACATTCGGACAGTTTTTTGTAATTAATCATCTGAAAAGAAAAAAAATTATTAGATACATGAGTAATTGTATAAAAAACTAAATCAAAGCACCTTGTCTGTTGTATTCAATGAAATATGCGTGTGTGTGTCTATGTATTTGTATACGATACATGGTGAAACTTTTGTATAATGCCCTGAAATGTGGATTTAAAACTATTGGTCCTAGGTAGAAAGAAGTGAAAGGTTTTAATGTATTTTTTTTTTTTTTTTATATTGTCCATCATGGTGCATATTCTTGCTTTACCACTTGTCTGCTATATGGAAATATCTTTTGTTGTAACAATTAACATTGTTTGGGTCCAAATTATAATTTCTATTTTATTGTTAATGTCTGGCCAAGAAAAATGTGTGTGCTTTGAGAAAGCAAATTCACTGAACTATTCATCTCTCCCCATTACAAGGAACAAATATGTTATTATTGTAAGCGACTAATGTTATTTTTTTTTCTTCTTGTTTTAACATATACATTTTTATCACTTAAAAAAAAACAGACATGGTCAATATCCTGTTGAAACAACAGTTCTTATCTGATCACCTAAGTTAAGCAACAGTGAACCTGGTCAATACCTATAGGGGTGACTGCTTGGGAATACCAGGTGATGTAAGTTTGGATGTGTGGGTGGTGTAACGGATAATAGCTTGAAATGAGATATCAGATTGCCGACTTCAAACTCCAGTCAGATTTCTTACATTCACTTACGTACAAATACTTGGGAAAGGTATGAAAGAATATTAACCCTCTTCAAGAGAAACAGTTCATTTTATCTAAACAAAACAATAAAAGTCACTAAGATGCTAGGAGTTACTGATAGTGAGAGGAGAAGACAAAGAAAGAAGAGAAGATGGCTGTTGTCATTGCATTTAATTTTTTTTTTTTGAAGATCATAGTTGAAAGCAAAGAGCCATAAGTGTTTTACAAGCAAGAAGTGTTTGAAAAGAAACTATCAACATATAATTTATGGTTACAATTAGATGTTTCAACAGTGTATGTATGAGACCCATATGCCAATCTAGTAATGCATTTAAATTTTAAAAGTTGAGGTACCAAAGAGGAAAACTCATCAAAACAGTTACTACATTTGATAAACTTTTATTGTTTTAGGATGCATAAATAAAATAAAAAAGAATTGAATGTAGAAATTATATTTTTCTTCTTACATTTACTAATGTTTACCTCTCAATTACCAATTTAGTACATTTTTTTTCTTTTTTCCTCTTTTCTTTTTCTATGTCCAACTTTTTCTTTTCTTTTTCTTCCTCTTCCTTTTTCTTTTTCTTCCTTTTTCTTTTTCAACTTCATTTTCTTTTCCTTTTCCACCTTCACTTCCTCTTTTTTCTCTCTATTCCTTCTCCTTTTTCTTTTCTCTTCCTTTTTTCTTTTCTCTTCCTTCTCCTTTTTTTCTTTTCTCTTCCTTCTCCTTTTTTTCTTTTCTCTTCCTTCTCCTTTTTTCTTTTCTCTTCCTTCTCCTTTTTTTCTTTTCTCTTCCTTCTCCTTTTTTTTCTTTTCTCTTCCTTCTCCTTTTTTTCTTTTCTCTTCCTTCTCCTTTTTTTCTTTTCTCTTCCTTCTCCTTTTTTTCTTTTCTCTTCCTTCTCCTTTTTTTCTTTTCTTCCTTCTTTTTTCTTTTCTCTTCCTTCTCCTTTTTTCTTTTCTCTTCCTTCTCTTTTTTTTCTTTTCTCTTCCTTCTCCTTTTTCTTTTCTCTTCCTTCTCCTTTTTTTTTTTTCTCTTCCTTCTCCTTTTTCTTTTCTCTTCCTTCTCCTTTTTTCTTTTCTCTTCCTTCTCCTTTTTTTTTTTCTTCCTTCTCCTTTTTTCTTTTCTCTTCCTTCTCCTTTTTTCTTTTCTCTTCCTTCTCCTTTTTTTTTTTCTCTTCCTTCTCCTTTTTTTTTCTTTTCTCTTCCTTCTCCTTTTTTCTTTTCTCTTCCTTCTCCTTTTTTCTTTTCTCTTCCGTCTCCTTTTTCTTTTCTCTTCCGTCTCCTTTTTTCTTTTCTCTTCGTCTCCTTTTTTCTTTTCTCTTCCTTCTCCTTTTTTTCTTTTCTCTTCCTTCTCCTTTTTTTTTTCTCTTCCTTCTCCTTTTTTCTTTTTTCCGTCTCCTTTTTTTCTTTTCTCTTCCTTCTTTTTTTCTTTTCTCTTCCTTCTCCTTTTTTCTTTTCTTTCCTCTTCTTCCTCCTTTTCTTTTTCTATTTTTTTTTTTTTTTTTTTCACTCTTCTCTTTTTCTCCATCTTTAGTGAGGCCTGTCATATAATGCTCTTGGTGACATTTCACAAGGATTTAAAATATAACTCTCCGACATTCAGCTAAAATATCTAATAATATTCAAGCTAATATTATTTCCGAAATACTTTCATTGTAAATGTTTGCTAGATCTCAAAACTTCCTGTGAGCTGTTGCCAAAAATGCCTGCCTTAGGGCGGATGTACACTTGTATATAGTTCATTATCTTATCCTTTCTGAAAAGTTTTACCCAGGATATACCAACATGGATTTACATGGACTTTTAATGGAGTTTGTACTTACCACCAGATGCCCTTCTTGTCGCAGACCTAGAGGGAGCATGGTAAGTTTATCTCTTACCAATCTTCACCTAGAAACTCTATAAGACTGGAGGGTTTTGTCTCCAGACTAGTTCAGCATTTAGATCTCTAAACTACATCCTGTTTTATTTAATTTGTGGTAGAATAGAAAATTTTTAATTGTTATATACTCTGTCCCATAATAGGTGTTTCATTTTGTGTATGAAATGTATATGCAAGTGTAGCAACTATTATGGGACAGAGGTAATAAAAAATACTATTTCTTCTGTCCCATAAAAGTTGTTCTATATTGTGCATGAAATGTGTGTATAGATGTAACAACTATTACGAGACAGAGGTTATAGAAAATACATCTGTCCTATAGTGGTTGTTCCACTTTGTGTATGAAATGTGTATGCAAATGTACCAATTATTATGGGACAGAGGTTATAGAAAATACTACTTTTGTCCCATAAAATTTGTTCCATATTGTATGCAAATGAAACAACTTCAGGTCAGTATGGTTGGATTTCTGGGTAATAAGAAAATTTGTGGCAGTAGACTATACATATTGGAGGGTTTATAGGACACATTATAGATATGAGATGTCTATTAGTAGACCGGCATAGTATCTCTTTAAATGTCTCTTGACATACTTTTTTTGCTCTTTCCTTATATCATAAAAAGATTTTGATTAAACTATTATGTGATTTTTCAATTAAGTTCTCAGAAATTTCTCTAAAACAGTCTCTTTAAACGATACTTAATGGTCATTTATAAAAATGTTAACATGCTCTTTTTCTCAAGTTAATTTTTTTTTTAAATGTTTCTTTTTTTTTTGCCTAGTTTTGCATTTCCAGGAATGCTGTCTTCAAAATCTACCTATTAGTTATTTTGTAAAACTGTTTTACAGATGCTGGACTTGTATCTTTAGGCTACTCTGTCCTTTCTCTGGCACCAATTTGAGCCAAGTTTGACATTAATTTGTTCTTGTTTAGGGGTTCTGTGTAAAAAGAAAAAAAAAAAACTAAACAAATTACCTCTTATATACTTAGAAAAGAATAGTGAAAATTAAAAATTATAATAACTGCATTTTTTTTTTAATTCTATGTACTTGGTGTCAACACTACTGATGTGTTGCAGTGTATCACTCAGGTTGTCAACACCTTTTGAGCAAATCAGTCAGCTTAAGCCCTTTGTCAGCTTTGTTCACCTTTTTAGAACTTTGAACTATACTGTACAATTTTTACCTCCTGATTCTTTTCAATTTCAACAATAACTTATATATATATATATATATAAGCATGTCTAATTAAACAGTTTTGAAGTGTTTGTTTATTTTTAATAAGATATTTTCGTAGTCCTGTATAAGCTTTGTTGTTTCATGAGAGTGAGAAAGGTACCATTGTTGTATTTATTCATTTTATTTTTTCAAGTACTTTTGATATGTTCACAATATCATTTTCAGGGTTATGATGGCAAATAGTTGTGTGTGTTCAAAGTAAATTTTTGCCTTTGTGGTTAAACTGTTAACAATTCCGTTCATGCACAAAGTCACAAACGGTGATTTTTTTTTTTTTTTTTTTTTTTAATTTTTCCATATTGTAAATATTATTATGTAGGGGAGGTAACTTAGTTAAGAATTGAATTCTACTATTAGGTTATATTTTTCTTGTTTACAATGTGGAAAAAGTAAAGAAAACTGTCAGAAAACAACATTACTAACAACATGCCTGCTAACAAAGAAAACCTGAAAAAAGAGTAAATGCAGACACTTAACTAAAGAAAAATCTGTAGTGTCCACTGTCTCTAGAAATGAAATTAAAACAGAGCTGTAATAATAACAAATGCCAAAAAGGGGCTCAAGAACTCCAATCTGAAATTATTATACTGAGTTTCAGGCTAAGGCACTCTTCTAAAGGAAAAGATTTTTTTTCATCTGAAGATTATTTTAGTGCAAAACTCATGATAGAGATTTCCCATTGGATGGAATCCATTAGTGCTTTTTGGTGTTTGTTTTATTTATCTATAAACCATATTTTTTTGCTTTTATATCACATGAATTCTTGTTTTTATTTTCCATACCACTATTTCATTATTTTAGTGGAGAGTTGACTTTAAAATCAAGTCTAGTTTGATTCACTTATATGAAAATACTCTTGAGAAAGCTATGAATCCATCTGTTCTTCTTCAGCTATGGGTTAAATAGTGGGACTACAGTGGGAAAATCATTCATTCTCTTTAAAAAAAATTGTTAATGGAATATTCACTTGAAAAAAAAAAAATTGAATTACTCTTGCAATCCCAAATATTTTGGTTTTTAATGACACAAATGGTTAAGCCAGAAAAAAAAATATCAATTAAAATAAAAAAACAACTTTTTTTTATGTCATCTTTATACCTCCCCCAACCAAGTCATCATTCTAAACAAGGTAGACAATTAGCCTCAATGAAACTTTGTCAGTCTTCCCTTTATTGTGCCTCCCCACCTTTTGTTGTTCTTTGAGCCTGTTAATTGCCAAACAAAATTCCTGCATTCTTTCCAACCGTTTCCTGTACTGCAATCATATCCTTGTTCACTCACTCACTTTTAAAGTAAGTGCAAGTGAACCATTGTGTTTGTACTGGGTTTTATCTTCAGCATATGTCTGTCTGTCTCTTTCTTTTTTTTTCTCTCTCTCTCTCTCTCTCTCTCTCTCCTACTCAATTTCCATCTCCACCTGCAGTGGTTGTCCACGTGCAGTAATAACAGCTCTGACTTTTTGACTCATGCTCTTTGGTTTTTTTTGGGTTTTTTTTTTTGTATTTTTCCTCACCCCCACCTACCCAACATCCATTACTTTTCTCTTATCTTTTTTTATTTTTGTTCTGATCTTGTGCAATTGTTGGTGAAACATTGAGAGCCTTTTATTGAGTTTACGTTCTTCGAACCCTTTTGAATTCTATCTATAGTTGGTGCTGAAAAGTCCTTAGCTTGATCAAGACATCCCAACCACAAAAACGTTAATCAATATGTCCATATCTGAATGACAAAAAAAAAAAGAAAAAAAAGTGAAGTATTTATTTTACATGACAGATATTTGTTGACATCATCTTCTCAATGAACTTTACCTCACACTCCATTAATTATATTGATAAAACATTTTACAGTGAAAATTTTTTATTAAAATTTAGCTAATAACTGTGTCAGCCTATGGGCATATTAATCCATCCTTATATTTTACAACAGGTATTTTATGCAAAATATGCTTACATTTCTGTGTGAAGATTGTGTTTGCATGAGCTGAAAAATACTGATGAGTGGACTGAACGATTACAAAAAGGTCTGTCTATGAAACTCTGGAGTCAGGGTGCTGAATATAGCATCAATTTGCTAAGTGACAAATTTTATATTTGTATTAATATATATATATATATATATATATATATATATATATATATATATATATACACACAGAGTCTCAGTTACGTGGACTGGTCATGTCTTGAGAATGTCTGATGACAGGATACCCAAGATGCTAATGTACAGCCAGTTAGATCAGGGCTACAGGATGCCCATGGCTAAGATACAAAGACAAGCTAAAAAAGCAACTTGTCAGCAGTCAATATACCATATAACACCCTTGAGCGCTTAGCCTTGGAGTGAGTAGAATGGAGATCGACATGTTTTAGTGGACTCAGCAATTTTCAATCTGCTTGTCTGAATCATCTTCAAGAAGTGAGAGCAAGATCTAAAAGATCAGCCAATCTAACAGTGATCTCATCTCACAATCCTCATACTTGCTCCATATGTGGCCTCCTTTGTAAATCACTAGTGGATCTTAAATGCCACTTAAGATTATCGCACAAAATTTCATAACTGAATCAATAAGCTGTCAGATCCTCATACATTGAAACCAACGGGAGAGTCCATTATATATATACAAATACATACACATACTCAGGCGATTTTTATCAATTTACCTTCCAAAGCTTTATTTTTTTAAAAACAAAATAAAACAATGAATGCTATATTATTTTAAACTACATAAATAAATTAAATGCCATAAGATACCGTAAGTTTGAAAGCAAGGTAGCAAAATCAACTGATCTCCTAATTTTTAAAGTTAAAACCTCTACATGTTATATTTTATTTTTATTTTTTTCACTCTTGTACTGAGCACTTTTTAATACTACTGTCCCCAACAGCTCAGACTGAGGAATCAGAGAGCTGAGTTCAAATTCCAGTCAAATCCATTACATTCACTTACATGCTAATACCCTTGGGAAAGGTATGAATCCTCCTCTTCTCCACCCAGCTATGGGTAAATAGCAGGACACACCGGGTTCTATAGCCTTGGATGGCAACTGGTCTACCACAGAAAGAAATGACAACCTACTGCTGGAAAAAAAATCTGCCTCGTTAGTTACGTATTGAAAGATACCTGATCACCTAAGTGTGTATCACGCATGACACATAACTGACTGTTCCCTGGTTCAGTTCAACACTATCCATTAATCTTTTATGCATTTTTATATATACATACATATATATATATATATATATATATATATATATATATATATATATATATATATATATATGAGAGAGGTGCATGTCAGGTGCAACTCCAAAATTCAAACTTGAATAGGATGCACGCACCAAATGCAGTACAGTATAGACTTTTGCTGTTAACCTTTGTAAGCCAGTGATCAAACCACAAACAATGAATTACTTTGGAAAAAGACAGATCTAAGTGTAAGGATAAGTAATTAAAAAAAAAAAAAAATTCATACAACTTAATCTTATTTTATTAAAAAAAAAAAAAAACTCAGAACATTATGCTAGCACCTTGAATATAAATCCTGTGTTTATTCAGGCACAGAAACACCATATATTATTATAGTATGTGTTTCGTTTTATTAAATTCAATCTGTATGATTTGTCTAATTTTCTTATTGTATTTTCCAATTTTTAAATAAGTTCTTACATATCTGGTTATGAAACAATGAATTGGTAAACAAAACTTACATTATTCACATTGTTCAAGCTGTTTTCCTCCTCTTTACTGTCATATTCACAAATTTTTGTACATTGTACGCTCTGGCCTTCTATATACATTGGAATTTTGAACCAAATCTTCTTTATTTCATCCACCAGGGTAGATTGTTCTAGTTTCACATGCAATGCCTTTTTTTCTGGATATTGTTCAGTTATTTTCTTTCAGTTTTTGTGGCTAGCTATTGAACTCAAAACCTTGGTCAAGTCACTGGATTATTTCAACTAATGTTTTTATCCTTTGGGACATCAGTGTATGAATTTTGGGGGGAATTATAATCCTAATGTCTCCATGTCCATTTTTGTACCAGATCTCATATTACAATTTATTGTTATTTTTCTCTTGCCCTCTGTATTACTGGTTCCCATATTGGATTCATGTCTATGCTTGACCAGATTAGGAAATTTTTGTGGCTGAAACATTGTGAATATGATAAAGATGAGGACAACAGTCCGAAAAATGTAAATAGTTATACCTCATCTTGGAAATATAAACCTATAAACAAATCTTATTAGTTGAGTTTAATAAAACTTGTTTAAATGAATTCTTACTGTATATATAGAGGCACTGAAAAGTCCTTAAGCTGGCAAAAAAAACCCTTTCCCACCAAAAATATTTTATGTGCCACTCCAACAAATTTTCAGCATGTCCCTTTATATACATATATAATGCAGAAATATATAAATATATAATGCACCAAGAATTCAGAGGCTAATAATATGCTTGCTTGAAGACATGACTACTACACATGATAAATGTGATATGTTTTTTTTAACATGAATATTTAGCTATCTTAGACATCAAGAAAAGCTTTAAGCAGTATATTTTAGAGTAATTGGCAGGTTTTGTCTGGGAAATCGTTCCCCCAGTGCCCAATAGATCAGAAATTGAAAATTTCATATAGATTTATTTCTACAGGATAGGTTTTAATTTTTTTTGTTTTGCTTTTTTTATGATAGCATTTTAAAAAAAAAACAAAAAATAAACTGATCCCCTTTTCTCAAACTTTAAGATGTATCCATTAGAAATGTTGTTTAATATCTTTGCTGATCAATAAATATTGGCACAATCATATTTTGCCAGTAATCTGATTGAAGAATCTTTTTCATTTTCAAATCCCACCTCCCCACCTCCCCAACACTTCTTGTCTTTATTCTTGCTTGTTGTTATGCTGACTCATAAATTTAAAACTAAATCTCTTCTAATATCACCACATTAGGCATCTGGAATTTTGAACCAAATTCTGAGTCAAACCTTAATGATTCAGTAGATAACATGATGATGATGATAGCAGTGATAGCACAATTAGAGATGAGGATGATGATGATGATGATTGAAGGCCACTGACCTTTGGTCAGCTTTTAGGTTGTGGCATATTGGAATTTTAAAAGGATTTGAGCACATCATATACATAATAAAGATGATTTTGCTGTTTTGTCAAAATCTGATACTCTTAGCCAAAATATGACTTCCTCTTTATTTTCAAAATTACTCATGCATATAAAATAGCAGAATTTAATGTTGCAGTTTGATACATTTTGTTACACTTGATGACAGGACACATGTTACAGCAAAACATCAGTTCTTGTCTAATCGCCAAAGTTAAACAATGTCTAGCCTGGTCAGTGCCTAGATGGTGGACCAGTTGGGAATGCCAGGTGTTGTAAGCTTGAATGTGTGGATTGTGTAATGGATAACGTCTCAGAATTGGAAATCAGAAAACTGGGTTCCAATTCCAGTCAGGTTCATTATATTCACTTACATATAAATATGATTGAGAAAAGTATGAATCTCTCTTCTCTCCTAGCTATGGGTTAAATAGGACTTGTTTTAGTTAATCATTATTATCTCTGAAAAATTCTTGCAATCTCAAAAATATTTTCTTGTTTTAAATAACTTACCAAAGTTTGATAATTTGTATAAAAAATAAAATAAAATAAATAAATTGGTGACAATAAATGAAGCGGCCATATTATCAGCAATTGTATCAACTGTATTATATGTTATAATATTGACTCTGATAACAGTACAGCCAATTAACAAAATATTTCTGGGGCTACATCTTCCCTGGTGTCATTTTGATTATTTTGATTTCAGTGATATTATACCCAAAATCTCTAAGCAAACTTTACAAATAGAAACATTTAATTTAGATAAAGACTAATTTCTCAAACATAATTTTATGTGATGACATATGACTACATTGGATATATCTGGTGGCTGGAATTGATGTTGAATCTTTTGTGAAAATAGTCAGGCAACACAACTTTGAAGACAATGATGGGGATGGTGAGTAATGTTTTGGGCTAATATTGTAGGCAACAAAATTTTAGTATATTTTATAAGTATACTAATAAGTATGCATGTTAATATAGCTTTTTTTAATCTTTTTTTTAATTTTTTTTAATCAAAGTAAGGCAAAAAGCCACTAGGGCACAAGAGGTTACTGAGTGTTAGAGAATATAAGAAAATTAAGGAGAGAAGACAATGAAAAAATGACAAATAAGAAGACAGAAGATAGTGATTGACATTGCATTAAAATTTTTGAAGATCAAAGTTGACTTGGAAGCAAGAAGCTAGAAGAGAGTTCCACAAGTGAGAAGGGCAATAGGAGAACTTGTTAGCATAGAACTTAGGGTTACATTTAGTCATTTCAACTGTAAATTGATTAGACCTTTCCACCAATCTAGTACTGCACTTAAATTCATAAAATGTAGGTACCCTAGAGGAAAGTTCATCAAAATGATTACCATGAAAGTATTTATAGAAACGGTACAGTAAAGCTACATTGCAGCAATGGGAAAGGGACTGAAGCCAAGATGCCAGATCAGGGGCAATGCTTTGCTGATTCTTCTTTGGATTTTATCAAGAATTTCTTAATATAAATATGGTAACAATATTCAAAGCAATGATGAATGGTAGACTTGTAAATATGTAAGATAGATTCTGGTGAGGAAAATTGTCTAGCATGACATAGGGAACCAACTTTCTTAGCTGCAAACTTAGCAAATGATTCAATATACTCTTTCTACTTCATGTCAGCTGAAAACTTTAGTCTAAGAAGGCACAATGAATCACCCTCCTAGAGTTAAAAAGGGGGTCTCTCAGTTTCATTTTTGAGGTGTTAAAATTAACCCACTACTTGCCCTATTTAACTACAGATTGTAGGTTTTTTTTTTCTTTTTTAGATTAGCTACCAATTTGATTTTATTGAATCAATCAAATTTATTATTGAGACAGGAGTAAATAGTTGAGTCATCAGCATAGATACCAAACTGAGAACTGATGACATCAGGAAGGTCATCTATGAAAATAAGAAACAATGTAGGTCTAAGGATAGAGGAGCTGGGGAATACCTGCATTTATGCAAAAAGATCTAGAAGAGTGGCCATTCAAGATAACTTTCATTTCACAATTTGATAAGAAAGACTGAATCAGTTAAAAAATGAATCCAGAAATACCATCACTGTTCAATTTGTGAAGAAGACCAATATTCTAAACCCTATCAAATGCTTTCAAGATATCAAAAGCAACAGCCCAAACTTCACCATTCTTATCTAAAGCTTTATAGACTCTTTCAGCAATAATCATTAACACATCAGCAATTGACCTAGTGAAGCAAAAGCCATATTATCTGAAAGAAGACCCTGTGATATGTTAGACCAATTCAGAATTAATTAAAGCTTCTTACAAGCAGAAAAGCAAGAAAAGCTTAGAACAGGAGACAGTTCAGGAGTACATTTCTTAAGGATTATTGCTTCCACCTATATATATAAGGTACTGAAAAGTTGTAGATTTCATTAGGAAGTCCTTACAGCAGAAAAAAAAACAACTTCAATAACTCTGCTTTGGGAAGTGTATTAGGTCAAAAACTTTTCAGCACTCACTCCTATATTTCAGGAATTGGTTTCTGAAGTTGATGATAGACACTTCAATGAATTGTCACCAAGATTTATTGAGACAGTTATTCTTTGTGTTATGAAGTAAAGTACTCTCAGGAATAGACGTCGTCATGTCAACAGATGGTAGCTCGACTGGCATTCACTGTGGCATACTACTTTTACAGCTGTACCTCATTTACATATGATACTACACCTCCCTGAACCGAAATGGCCTTATGCCTTTTGTTGAGCTTTGACTTCTAATTATGCTTGGGAATCTACACTGTCTTTCTTGGTGTGTATCTTGATTTCTTCTTATAGAGGACCTAGGTCAGAGTTCATTTTCCTCTTCTGACTCCTTGTTAGATTTCTAGTCATTATCAACCTGCTCTACTCTGTCTACCCATTAATGCAGAGGCAGACTTTGTAATCTGCCGACATGTGGAATTGTCTTATAGCTTAACAGTAATCTTGGTAAGTAACTCTATATTATCATTAGATGGGGAAATGCTTTTAGTCCCATTTTCATAGTCTGCAGCATTCTTTCTGCAATTCCATTCGATTGTGGGTGGTAAGGTGGGGTTTTATATGGGACACATCCAATATGTGCCATGAGCACAAACTTTACTCACAAAATTCTGGCGCATTATCTAAGAACAAAGTTTTAGGCAAACAATTCCTTGAAAACATTGTTCTTAATATTTGTTTTACAGTGGTGACTTTTCTGCCAGCAACCTTAATTTCGGTCGTCCTGAAAATGAGTCCACTGAAATTAAAAATAGCCCCATTTCTTTAATAGAGGTATGATCTATGTGTACCCAAGTCCATGGTTCATTTTCTTTAGGCCATGAGTGAATTTTGTTTTGCCAAAAGTTTTTTTTATTTCAGCACATTTTGGACATCTTTTTATATAGTCTTTTACATCTTGAGAATATCCTGGCTACCATGCTTGTAATTTTAATCTCATTTGTGTCACTGTATTACCACAATCTACATTATCATGTAAACCTTTTAGTACCTCTTAAGCTTTGTGGTGGTATTATATCTTCATTGCATATTATGCCTTTCTCTTTATGTTTTGATTCTTTGCAGGGTCTTTCTGCCATTGAATAATTGCTCCGTGTTTCTTTTTATTCTATCTGAAATTTTACATAACACTTTATCTTGTATGGTTTCTGAGATGATTTAGGTATAACATGTTTTTTTCCAACTCAGTGCAGTATTTTATCTTCTGAATTTTCAGACATTACTAATTTTATACTGTCAAAATTTAGTCTGAATAGCATATCCACATGTGGAATTGTGTTCCCCTTTACATGTATGATGTTGAAATCTAAAGCCCTCTAGAAGATGTGACTTTTGGTATTTCCTTTCTGGTGTTAAATATAAACTCTAAAGGTTTGTGATTTGACTTTAACGAAAATTTTTGTCCTAAAAAAATGTTGAGCTCTTTCTCTGCTCCATACTATTGCGAACACTTTTTCTCAATATTTGAGTAGTTAGCTTCAGCTGATGTTAATTTTCTCAACAGGTACATTATTGGATGACCTTTTTTAAATAAAATTGTGACGGCAGCATGTACAGCATCTGTAGTCAATGTCACTTTCTTTATTTTGATTTATCAAAGATTTTTGGCAATCAGTTTTCTTATTAATGCCTTTTTTAAGCTTTCAAAAGATATATTTTGCCTTTGAGTCCATTTAAATTCTGTATTTTCCATAATTCTGCAAATGGTTCTATTAGTATCTAGGTAGATATTTGCTATAAAAAATTGTCAATCCCAAAAATGATTCTAATTTTCTTCCTTTTATTTTTTGGTTTAGATACTTCCAATATTTTATTTATCAGTTTATTGTCTGGCAAAATTCCTTCTTCAGATATTTGGTATCCCAAATATGATATTTTGTTGCAATTTAACTCACGTTTATCACTATCATCATAGCAGCAGTTTTTAATTTGTTTAAAACTTGTTCATTTTTTTTTTTTTAAATCCTCTTTTCTGTAAGCACCTATGCTTATATCGTCTTGATATATGATTATATTTTTAACCCCTCCGATAAAACTTTTTCAATTGCTTTTTGAAAAATATGGCTTGAAATCTTAATTCCAAATGGAAGACAAGTCCATCTTAGTAAGCCTATTAAGGTATTGTAGTGACTACTTTAAATTTTTTGCTAATTTCTATTTGGTTATATGCTGATTTCAGGTCAATCTTGGCAAAGTATTTCATTCCTGCTAATTTGTGATTTGCCATTTCTATCCTAAGTAAAGTTATCGCAACAATTGGTGAAGCCTAACTGCTACCACCTTAGGTAATTTTCTCCAATATTTCTTGTTCTACCATTTTCTTTAGTTCTGCAATTCCCATGGATAGAATGTGTATTTTTGAGATTCAAAATAGATTGGGTGACTATTTTCTTTTAGATGAATACTCACTTTATATCCTTTTAATAATTCTGTCATGTTCTTCTGACTTCATACAGGTTATTAATTTCACAGTATCCACTTTTAAAATGTCATCATTTTTTGTGTATTCTACACCATTGATGAGAATAATCTCAAAATGTTTTTGTTTTTTTTTTTGTCTTGAAACTTCCTTCAAAGGTGTCTAGAGTTCTATTGACAGATCCATTAAATTGTTTTAAATTAAGATCACTTTTTCTTTATTTTGGGTTTAGCCATTTTTCCCCAGAAATTCCTTGAAATCAAGGTAACATCACTTCCTGTGCCAACCTGTATTGGAAAAGTTATGCCATTCAATTTTACCATCTCTTTACTTTTTGCAGATTGAATATACTTCTGTGTTTTCAGTATGAGAGTTTATATTTTCTACCTTTTCTATTCTCTTTTTGCATCTGAACATAGATTGGAAATGGACTTTTTTGTGCAGTTTAAACATAATTTTCCTCAGGCTGGACATTTGTTTTTGTTTCTTTCATGTTCTTTGTCACTATATTTGCACTTAATTAAGATTTCAGTTGTGTTGTATGCTTCCACATTGTTTTTAAAATTATTAAATTCATTAATTAATTCTAATTGCTGCAAGAATTCTACACTTGCTTCTAAATTCATATCATTTACTTGTAGTTGTTCTAGGAGCTTATATTTGTATGTAATGTCATACAGGCCTTCAATTAGTCTTAGAAGGGTCAATTTGTCTTCTATTTCTCTCAAACCCAGTTTTTCAAATTCACAATATCTTAATGCTTCTTTCAATCTGTATCTGTGTAAATATTGCTTTATGGTTTCATTTTGGTTCTATTTTCTAGAAATTTTGTTCTCTCTGCAATAACCGGCTTTTTTTTTTTTTTTTTTTTTTTTTTGTCACATGTTTCTTTTTATAATTATTGAAATTTCCTCATATGTTAAGATTTTGAAGTATACCATAATGGATATTTTCTTTATGGCTTCACATCCTGCTGAAGCTAAAAATAAATTGGTAATTTCATTGTCCCCTCTGGAGGCTTTCTTGTCTTTCAGTTTCTTTTCTCTAGCAAATGCTGCAAAACATCTAATCCATGTTTCTATGTACTCCAGTTAATCCAATATGGTTAGGAACTCCCCCCCTCTCTTGATGCCCGCCTTTTCATCCCCCTTCTCTCGACGCCCGCCTTTTCACTCCCCCCTTCTCTCGACGCCCGCCTTTTCAGCCACCCCTTCACTTTTTCATTGCTCACTTCCTCAACACTTGCCTTTTCACCCCTCTATCTCTGTTTACATTTTTCTTGACTTGTTCCCTTTTCTTTAATTCATTTTTTATATTTTGGGATTCATATTGTTCTGACATTGATATTTCTTTGTTCTTTTATTCTGTTAGACAAATCTATTTTATTTCTTTCTCACCATTTTTCTTTTCTTTCTGCTGCCTTCTTTTCATAATCCTTTTCTATCCCTCTTAATCTTACCAATTTTCTTTTCTCTCTTCCTTTTTTTTTTTTTTGCTTAATTCATCTTCTCTTTCTTTTCCTTCATTCTTCTACTTATGCTTTTCCAAACAGTTTGACTCCACTATATCCCAAATTTTTCTTGCACCCTTTTTGTCTGTGTCTTATCAGTGCACAGAAATGCATATGTTGTAACTATGAGTTGTGGTGGAGGCTGATGCATTTTGAGAGGTGTATATGGGAAAGGAGCATATGGTTGAAAGATGTTTTTTGGACTTGACCTAAATCAACATTAGGGGAAGAGGGGAAAGTGACTTACATTTGATCCATCATTAGAACTCACTTAATTTCAGTTTTCGTTCTTTCACCCCCCCCCCTTTCTCTTTCTTTTTTTCCCCCGCCTTGCTCTTTCTTTTCTCTTCTCCTTTTCTTTCTTTTCCCCCCTTTTCTCTTTTCCCGCTTTACTCTTTCTTTTCATCCTTTCTTTTCTTCCCCCTTTTCTCCTTTCCTTTTTTCTTTGTTTCTGTTTTCCCTTTTCGTCTCTTTCTTCCCTTTTCGTCTCTTTCTTCCCTTTTCGTCTTTCTTTTTTCCCTTTTCGTCTCTTTCTTTTTTTTCCCTTTTCGTCTCTTTCTTCCCTTTTCGTCTCTTTCTTCCCTTTTCGTCTCTTTCTTCCCTTTTCGTCTCTTTTTTTTCCCTTTTCGTCTCTTTCTTTTCCCTTTTCGTCTCTTTCTTTTTTTTTTCCCCTTTTCGTCTCTTTCTTCCCTTTCGCCTCTTTTCTTCCCCTTTTTTCGTCTCTTTCTTCCCTTTTCGTCTCTTTCTTCCCTTTTCGTCTCTTTCTTCCCTTTTCGTCTCTTTCTTCCCTTTTCGTCTCTTTCTTCCCTTTTCGTCTCTTTCTTCCCTTTTCCTCTCTTTCTTCCCTTTTCCTCTCTTTCTTCCCTTTTCCTCTCTTTCTTCCCTTTTCCTCTCTTTCTTCCCTTTTCCTCTCTTTCTTCTTCTTTGTATATTACTTAATAGTTTTTCTTTTTAGCACAAAATAACTACTTATATTGATCCTTTTTATCACAATGTCTCAGTCAATCCATTCTATATCTTCTATAATTTTGAAAAGTCATTATCATTCCAAGAGTTGTTCAGATTATTAAACACATTCTTTGTGTTGATTTTGTTTTTACCACAATGTTCCAGTCAATCCATCCTATTGCTATCCTCAATGTACAAAAGCGGAAATCAATAGTCTGAACAATTAATAACTCTACTTGAAGTTGGATAAAATAGTTTCAAATCTATTTTTCTGCACTACAACCAATACAAAACTGATCTCTCACATTTTACCATCTACATATCATGGGTATGTTGTTGCTGTTTTTATTATTATTATTAAATACATATTTTAGATATTTTTTTTCATCAAATCCTGATTGACATTTAAGTATGGTTTTCTGAATCCTTTTCAGATCATTATTTTTCAATAGATGCCTCCCCCAACTCGCTAATCAAATTTACCTCACCCCTTCCCAATCACTGTTGAATGACTTGCATAATAGGAAAAGGATTAAGTATCATCTTGTATAAAATCTTGGGTTTTCTTTATTAGTAGCTAAGTCTTTTTCTTTTTACTCTTTATAGTAACAAGAAAAAAACTAGGATATTTGTCAGCAAACAATGTTTCATAATGAGGCTGGGAGGGAAAAAATATGCATCCTGAAGGAATTTACTAAAATTGTTTTTCTTCTTTTTTTTTTTTTTTTTTTTTTTTTTTTTTTGAAAAGCAGAAGAAAAAAAAATTAAGCTAAAAACAGGAAGAGAAATATGGAAGGAAAGCAATCAATAAAGCATGTTGTTTTTGGTTGGGGTGGGGTTGATAGAAAAAAAAAACAGATTCTTGGGGGAAAAAAAGGGTGTCATCATGGAATCTTTTATTTGATCAGATCCTTGTTAATGCCTAACATGCAAGTGTTTGGCAACTTACAAACTTGTTAGTCTGTGATGGCATGGATTCAGCCAGAAAATATGAAATAAATGGCAGGGGTGTGTGTTGTCGTGATGAGTGATGCAAATCAAGGCTCAGAAGATGCAGCGCTGCTTTCCTGTTTGTTTTTTGTTTTGTTTTTTTTTTTAACTGATTTGCTAATAACATCTAATCTTCAAACTGACTGCCCCTTTTAGCAGTGGAAGGAAAAAAAAAATTTCGAAGATGTTTAGGATTTCAAGACGAGTATTAAGATTTTAACACAGACCAACAGGAAAAACTATGTCAATGAAAATTAAATTTAAAAAAATGTAAACAAAACACACTGAGTAACTTTAAGTTTCAAATTTTCATTGTACTTCTTATAAAAAAAAAAACTTGATTGGTACTAAATATTTCATAATACAATACAGAAGTATAGTACTACCTCTGTCCTCTGATAGTTATTACATTTGCATATACATAGTGAGGCAAATCTGGTATGCCATAGGGGTTAATTAATTAATCCTGTTTTAAATGTCTAATTTGATTTGATAGGTCCTGTTGAGTAGCCACCAGACTTCACACCCTTGTGTTTTCTTTTTGTTTTGTTTTTTTCTGTGGAGCCATTTGAAATCAGTTGTTTATTAGATGTGCCCAAGAAATACTGAGGAACTTAAAGAAAGACTTAAATATGAATGCAGTAAAATGACAACGGAAACTCTCTGACATGTTAATGAATCATGCAGGCACAGAATTGAAATGTTTTTTGAAAAAGGAAGATATTTTGAACAGCATATATAATTAAATAACTAGCAAGTAAAATTTTCATGTGTACTTATACTTTTAATAAATTACCACTATGGTGCATGACTTTTGTCTCACCCTGTATATTTCATAAACTAAATTACACAACTAATATGGAACAAAAACAGTAAAATAAAATCCAAAACCCCTTTTCATATATACACCCCCTGGTTAAAATCTTAAGACCAGATACAAAAGGGTTAAAAAAAAAAATTATAAAATACTGTTACTTTAATCAAAATATATTTGCAAACATTTACATTTAATTAGAAAATGTAGTTTATCAACAAATAAGTGATCAATTAAAAGCTTAAAATGTTCACTTGTTTGTTGATAAACTACATTTTCTAATTAAATGTAAATGTTTTGCAAATACATTTGGATTAAAGTAACAGTATTTTATATTTTTTTTTAACCTTTTTGTATCTGGTTTTAAGATTTTGATCAGGTGTGTGTGTTATATATATATATATATATATATGACATCACATTAAATAATTTAGACAAGTTTTGTCTACTTATTCTTAATAGAATCCTCTCATAATTACGGACGGTTTTTTTATTATCCTTAAATATAATGACATTTGGAGGGGAAAAGTCTCTGAAGCTTTCTCCTGCATCTTTCAAAATATGAAATTATATATATATATATACTGAACCCTCCTGTTTTAGACGTATAAGAGTAGGTACCTCCACCTTTTCCAAAGAAAAAAAACAGCATAGTATGATGAAAAAAAGGCCCCAAACTTAATAAAACAAAGTTTTATCATCAAAATATTTCTTCTTATTAAGAAGAAAGACCAAAGTAATTTTTTATTGTTTTATTAAAGTCTTAAGTCCTTTCTAGCATGTTCAAAATTTTGGCTAAAAATGTTTTCATTTTTTTTTTTTTTTTTTTTTTTTTTTTTTTTTTTTTTTTTGATCGATGTAATATTTACAATTACCATTTTAGTTCCTTTTTTTTTTTTTTTTTTTTTTTTTTGTGAAAAATTCATTGATTTTAAATTATTGCAAAAAATTAAATACTTGTTGAATTTTAATGAAACTTTCAGGACTTATTTACAAATGAATTAAATTATTTTTGTAATTTTTTTTTGTTTAAATTTAGGTAAAAAAAATTTTTTATATATATATATATTTATATATATATATATATATATATATATATATATATACCTACTTTTAATTTCTTGAAATTTTTGGGAAATTAAATTTTCATCCCAAAATTTGTTTTATTAGTTAAAAGCAGGACTCCTTGGTGAATGTAAATGATCACTGTTACTGCTACTTGTTTCCATAAAATCAGTTCTTAAAACAAAAAATACGATAAAACTGACATCATTTAATTAGAAAAGTTTTAATTGCTTTTATAAATAAGATAGGACACTATTGTCTTAAGAAAAAATTATTTTCAATGAATAATGAATTTTTACAAGAGTTGTGTTCATTTTTTTTATTTTAATTATAATAACTTATCAAAAATCTTTTAAAATTCTACATGAGTTTAATCTCATTAGGTGATATTGTTAAGTGAAAACATTTTGCACCAAAATTTTTAAAATAATTTTTTTTTTATGTATATAAAATATTATGTAACATGTCCATTTTTGAAAGTATGGTCGACGAAACACAACATTATCAGAAAATAAGAGTGATGACTAGGGTAAATTTAAGGTCAACTTTCCTAAAATTAGATAATAGAGAATATTTTACAACATTTATTAAGATTAATGGATACTTAAAAATTATATAAAAATGGTATTCACGCATCATCTTAAATTATGTTTTAACAGATAAAGTGCCCATAAAACAATAATAAATATGTCAATACCTTATCAGAACTTATCATTGTTCGTCAATTAAATTGACTGCTGTTGCTTAAAAATGACTGCTACTATTTGTTTTAAATATACATTTCTGTATGATTTTAAACTTAAAGTAATTTTTTTTTTTCAAATCATATTTGTTATGCTTTAAATCAGCTAATATTCCTGAAATAAAGTTTCAGAAAAGTATATTTCGTTGTTGGAAGATTTTTTTTAATACAATGAATTACATTGCAATGAAAGATGACTAAAAAAAAAAAAGGTACTAATTAGCTATTTTAGTAAAAAAAACAAAAACAAAAAAAACAGTTCCAATCAATATAATTTCTATTTGAAATGTGTCAGAGTATTTTTGCTTACTGGAAATAGTAAATTTAACACTTTAGCTTTCAATTAAAGCTAAAATGAAAGTTTCAAGAAAGCTTTTTCATTTCTAAAAATTCATTTTAAACTCTATTTATCACAAATTAGTGGAGGTACATATATAAGAGTCAAATAGCTTAGTTCTTAAAACCAACAGACTACCCGCACATTTCATGAAGACTGTATTGCTTATTTTTAATTTTTAATACATTGTCAATCATGACTTAAATTAGATCCTGATTGCTTGAAATTCCAGGTCAAATAGTTGGGTGCTTAAATACTTATCCGTATCAAACCAAGTAGATATTTTCAATATGAGAATCAATAAGTTTATAGCCTGATATATGGATAACAGAATTAGGATTTATAGAGAAGCATTAGGTTATGTGTAAAAAAAATGAATTTGCTGTGGAAAATAAATGCTTTTATCATTAGGCTATAGGCTAATCTGTGTGTGTGTGTGTGAGAGAGAATATATATATATATATATATATATATATATAAATAAAATGTGTGTGGGGGGGGGAGGAAATAGGAATTAACGCTTCTGATGATTATGCCCACACAGTCTATATCTGCAGCCTTTTATACTCAGCACTTTCCATCTAAATATAGCAACTTCTAAACTTATAAATAAATAAATGGAAAAGTGGACACTGAGGTCACTCCCCCACCCAATGAAATATAGCCTAGATTAAAACTATATTTTTAATACACACACATGATAATTTTTAACACACACACACACACACACACACACACACACATATATATATATATAATTCTTCTGCTGACACTTAATTTATAAATTTTTTTGTCTGGATCCAGATCTGACCCGGAATGTTTTTAATTTGCCCATGGAGTCAGGCTGATTCCAAAATGGTATGATATGTTGGACTACAGCCTCTAGGAGTAAAGTTGAACAAGTGAGACACAGTGACATTCACATTTATTATATAGATATATTAGTAGATAACACAAAATTTTTTTTTATAGGACACAGTGCAAAGAAAGACTTAAAATTCTGGAGGATGTTGTAATAAGAGAAGCAACC